AAAAAAAAAAACTCACTGGCCATTTGTTTCCACCTACCACTTACAAATCTCCTTCTCTGAAGAAATCTGCTTTGTTTCAAAGATGATGTGATATTTAAATCAGTAAGCAAGTTCACATATGCACTGGTATCGTGTCTTATATTGATTATATTCTGGATATGGTGTTTAAATGGAACATGAGAAACCCGGTTATTCATATAACTGTATACATGATTATAACAGTATCCAGATTTTTGATAATCTGTGTCCAGTTGTGTCTTGATGTCTCACCATCTCAGCCACGAGGTTCTGTACTAACACAATGTTCAGAAACCTGTTCAGTCGTTCACATGCCACAGTATCCTGGTTTATATCAGAGTACTCACAAGTAGCGTATCCACGGTTGTCAGGGTAAGATCATATTTCAGGAAACCATGACAAGCTGTGTACATAGCAATACATAACCATGAACACTCCAAAAACCTTATAATAACAACCAATGACATGATATTTATTTCAATTTGTAAGTCAAAAAAAAAATCTTCTCACAATTGAGCAGATTGCCATACTCAAACAGAAAGATGGTATTAATTAGTGCTCTTTAATCTTAAACTTGCTCTGTGAAGCACGTTGGGACTGCCATGTTTAAGATGAAAAGATCGTCTTATTATATTATATTATATTATCTGCATGGAGGGATATGTTATGACTGAAATACTGTAAGCTACAAGATGCTATTTAAGAAAAGCAATCAGTGGGTATTTGTCCTGAAAACAATGACTTGAGCACTTCGACAAAGAAAGAAAGCAGGCAAAACAGAAGGAGAAATAAATAAGGGATTAGGATAATGTATAGTTTAGTTAGGCCCAGGTGTAATCTCCTTTTGAATTCAGTTTGACCTTATCTGCAAAAGTATGGGAGAAAAAAGTGTCAAGGTAATGATGTAATAAGTTGATTTACAAGTAAACAGAAGCAGTCCCAGCTCCACAGAAAAAGATTAAAAAAAGTTAACAGATAGCAGGATGTGGAGGTTATTGGATGTTGGAGGCAATACATATTTTTAGTCTTGTTTCAGCACTGAAGTGTCTGTGTGAAAGCCATTCTCAAATCTGTCCTAGCTGTCTCGTACGTCAGCCTCGGCACTGTGGCCAGATAATCCCATGGGATTTCTATCACACAGGTGCTGCTGTTTATTTATCCTTCCTTCGACACATTCACTGCCCCCAGCGAGCATCGCTAACACCGGCTAACTCTCTGTCACTACAAGCTAACAGAGCTTTGTGCCTATTGTCCCCGACCTCCTCAAGGCCCCCCAGTCCCGTTCTGGGCTCCGACGGCTGGCCCGCTAGTCTGTGTGATCTCCACCGCAGGCATTACTCACTCCACAGTTCTCCAGATCTGACAGGTGTGTGATAGTGATGTCCCGTAAGCCGGTGCTGCCAGAGCTCTGAGTCACAGAGATGTCCATTTCTGAGAAAGCACTGGACTTTGGTTTCTGCTCATTTCCGTCTCTTTCTGATCCAGTTGCCTATTTAATATGAACAGACAGAGGGATAGAGATGACTCTGGGAACAGAAAAAAAAAAAAAAATCAGTGAAACTCCTAAAGAGCGAGTGGGCCTAAGCCCTCGGGCAGAGACAAATCACCTGAGGCAGAGTACAATTCTACTTTGTACTTTGAGTCTTTTTTCCCCTTTCAATGTCTATTTTAGTCATGAATAGGTATGAGAGGAAAATGAGGTATTTCCTTTAATTAGAAACCCTAGGTACATGAGAATGTGATCTTTTTGTTCTTTGCCTAATTAGGCTGCATGTATCTAGAAATATGCATTGTGTTCTTACCTGAGTGTAAGTTTGGGCCACCCTTAAGGGGTTGACCTACTAAAAGTTACAGGGATAGCGTGCGCGTGAGTGCGTGTCCACGCACACGGGCATGTGCAAACTTTACGCAGCCATTCAAAGTGAGAAGTGGCTGTGTATTGTGACAAGAAAGTCACGGCTCTGTCTGTGAAATGGCAAGTAAAGGAAGAAAATGTCAATTCCCAACGTGGAAAACCACGTAATGATTCTCTCAGAGGAAAAGGGTAACGCGCACACACACACACACACACACACACACACACGAGCATGGA